CCCGGGGAGAGGCCGGAGGAGACGGGGGGTGAGAATGCGGGTGGGGCCGGGAGAGGCCCCCGGCACGGAGGAGCCGTCGCTTCCCAAGCCCCTTCGAAGTGATCCGCATCATATGGGCGCTCCCCCCCACCCCCTCCTTTTCCTTATTTTTTTCCTCATCAAGGATAAATGGGATTTTTCAACCATAACGCTAAAAAAAGCGTAGCTTTTTTTTTTTTTTTTTTTTCCGTGTGAAAACTCTGTGTGGGGCTGAAAGCACGGAACAAAATGCCTTCGCTGGCAGCCTCTGGTTTCTGTTAAAGACAACTGCTCGGGCTTTAGCGAGGCTTAAGGTTATCGGAAAAAAAAATAAATAAAAAAACAAAACAAAACCAAACCCCAAAAAACCCTCAAACCTAGAAAACTGTTTTTGCAAACGGCCCGAATCCGCAATGGTATGAAAAGGGGGGAAGCGAAGGGAGCACGGGACGTTGTAGAGGAGGGGGCGGCGGGGTGCGGTGCCCCTGCCCCAAGGGGGGTGACCCCCGGGGGGGGGAGGTTGGTCCAGAAATTCTTTCGATTCCTCAGAGTCTTTTGACAACTTCGCCATTTGGGGTAGAGGGGGAAAAAATGAAATATTTTAAGACCCAAGTCTCTCAGAGCCTTATAGCTTCTTTAAGCAAGGTGTTCCAGGGATCCAACACAGAGCAAAAGTTCCAGTCTTGTGTGTGTGAACTAGTGCTTTTTGTTGTCATTTTACACTCAACCTGAAACCCCAGACAAGTTGTTTTCCTCTTTTTTTCTCTTCTCTTCCTAGATTCCTGCATTATTGGTGACCACCCAAAAATACAAATCAAGAACTCTACTTTCTGTATGAGTGCCTATCCAAACTTGACTATGGTTAACTTCACCAGTGAAGGAAACAAAACGTTTGTCAGTGGAAGTGAAGAATACTTCAAGTAAGATCTTTCTCTGTTTAGAGATGTCATGCTAATCTTTCTCTGAAATCCACCGTAACAGACAACAAATCACTGTTTGGAAGACTAGAAATAAGATAGTTAAGGACAGCAAATGATACCTGTTTTTAATGCTTAGGAATGATGAAAGCTAAATTTCAAATGCTGGATTATTTTTGTTCTGTTCCTATGGTGCTTAGCACAGCTGGGGGCTTGGCCCATGCCTGGCATTTTTATCTACTACTGCAATGCAGATAAATAAAATAATACATGACGAGAATCACTGGAACCTTCTAGAGAAACCACTGAGAACGCTGAAGCAAAACAAAATACTGTAGGAATTTACACTGAATTACTGCCTGCAGTTGTTGTCATTAACTTTTTTCTTTTTTCTTGCTTTTTTTTTTTTTTTTGTTTTGTTTTTATTCTTAGGTACTTTGTTTTGAAGATTTCGGCAGGGATTGAATATCCTGGTGAGATTAGATGGCCCTTGGCACTATCTCTTTTCCTAGCTTGGGTGATTGTGTATGCCTCCCTTGCTAAAGGAATCAAGTCGTCAGGAAAAGTAAGAAAAATAGTTGTGACTGTACACTTGCAAGAAAGCAGCCTGCTGCTTTAAGGGAATCACATTCTTGCTTAAGGCAGTGAATTACCGAAAACGATTTTCAGTAAATGGCTAAGTATTAATGAAATGCCTTTTTCCTGTCTGTGTTTTCCTATCTAGCCAAAGCATTAAAAAAAGGGAAAATTTTGGTTCAGCATTTGTTCCCTAACCTTCAGTAAATTTAAAACGAGCCCTTGAGCTGCACTCAGCAGTTGGATGGCAAAAGAGGTGCCTTCAGCAGCCTTCCCTGTTCCGTGGGGTGTTCACTAAAATTCTGCCATTTCACTGTAATCTGGGAAATTGTGAAGTAAATTAACACGTTAAGTAACGTATTTTAAAATCAGAACCGAACTGAAATTGGTCTACGGTGCGTGTGAGCAGCGACAGTGTATCCTCTTTTCCCACCTATTTGTGTCCCGTCTTTCTAAAACTCCTTGCAATAACCCAGGTCCTTGCTCAGGTCTCTGACACCCCACGTGTCCTTCTCTCCCTTGGCCCTCAAACCTGCAGCTTTCTGCCATCCTCCGAACTAGCAACCGTGTCAACAGGGAGCATGTCCTCTCATTCGCATGGAAGTACAGGCATACAAATTGGCCAGGCAGCCCTCTGAGCAGAGAAATGCAGCTTTTTTTTTTTCAGCAGCATCACTGGTTTGGGTGGGTTTTTTTTCAGGAAACCT